AGACCTGAAGGACCAGATACCCTATAGAATCATTCTATCACCCTATTAGAGACCTGAAGGACCAGATACCCTATAGAATCATTCTATCACCCTATTCAGAGACCTGAAGGACCAGATACCCTATAGCATCATTCTATCACCCTATTCAGAGACCTGAAGGACCAGATACCCTATAGAATCATTCTATCACCCCTTTAACTGTTTTTTATACTATACTCACCCAATGTACAATGGCAGTTCCTGGTCTGGGTGGCTTGAAAGTGACACACATTCCACAACAGTTTTGTTCATCGAACTTAAAAAAAAAAAAAAAAAAAAAAATGTAAACAAGGTTATTGATTTTGATTTTTTATACTCTAATAATCCCAGAGGGAAAGAAGAAGTGATCAAAAGTATGTGCATTCAAAAGTACTTAAGTATTGGAAAGTACCACTTCAATTTTTGAACATCCGTATATTTTGGTATAATTTTCAGAGTAAATTTACAAAACCTTTTAACTTCTTTAATACCTGATGTTGACACATAGAACCACAGCTTCAAATTCTACATCACCTGTACAGAACTGGAGAATAAAAGAACAAAGGACAGATATTTTAAACAGAAGGGTGTTAAATCTCCTCACATTTTCACAGTGGAATAGAGATTTAATCTTTTATTCATGACCAGGGATGATGTTAGGGTAGCTCTACACTCCAGAGTTTCATTGTTTCATTGCAGCCTGATGCGTATTTGTCGTCCTTTTTGAGGCACAAGGCCTGATTAGCAGATTTATTTCCATTTTTGCTGGGATGCAGCACAATATATCCAGTTGTAGAATGTAAAAGAAATGCATTGACTGTCTTGTCTTACAGATGATTGGTTAAGAGTGGTGCCATGTCAGATAAATATCAGCTTGTCATTAGTTTGACATGTAAAGCAAGGCTCAGAGTGTCACTGTCTAATTTCAAGGCTAGGCTTAAAACTTCCCTTTTTAATAAAGCTGATAGTTAGCTATCTCTATAGTTATGATGATATAGGCTTAGACTGCTGGAGGACATAAGGACCCATTTTAGTCATTCTGCTTCAATATATCTATATTCTTCCATTCTTTTGTATTTCTTAGTTCAATCTCTAATGTTATTGTTTTGATGCTTTTTCTAATCATAGTAGCTTCATCTGGTCTCTTCTTGTTTGGCTGTGCATCGGAGAGAAATGTAAGCTGTGCTGCTGCCATCAACACCTTTGTTTATAGATGTCGATTGACAGTTGCCTTTTGTATCTCTGCTTCTTTCTGTTTGTAATATAATGTAAACCTGTTTTCCTAAAACAAGAAAAAATACACTTTAATAAGACATTAATATATAAATATTACCTTATTTGCTCAATAGCTTCCAGGTAATGTGATCAATTGATTCCAAATCTATAAGAAATCATGGTACTAGACTGGTTTCATAAGACACACCATTTAGTTTTAATATGAAATCTCTAAATGTGTATAATCTTTTGTAAATATGACAAATATTAATATTCTAGTTCGATAGCTTCTTGGTTTCTTGGCAGTTTTATTTTGAAAACAGGAAGTTGGTACACGATGTAGCTGTTTTCACTCGCCGTGTTTTTACTGTAAAGTCTATAATAAGGGCGCACTTGAAGAATTGGAGCGGCTTCTTCCGATATCAGTGCACCCGGAGCAAAGGAAAGGTTTTCCTGGAGGAAATAAGAAAATTAACCGGAGGAAGAAGCGGTTTAACCGGGGCAAATGTCTTTCGAATGTCTGTCGAATATCCAACATAAAACTAACTTCACCGCTGTATGCAGGCTTAGGTTTTTGAAGGTGTTTGTTGGAAGAAACATCTAATATTCTTTTTTTTTATGTCATTTAACTTATTTTATAAAAGATAAAACAATACAATCTCATCAATACACTCATACTATTTTAAAGTCATAATGCAGCTATGGGCATGACATTGAAATTAGCTTCCAGATTGTAGCTTAGAAAGGAAGCTAAAGGTTTACAGTGAAGTTTGAAGTAGTTTGAAGTTAGATATTAGATATTCAAGCTCAGAGGAGTTGGCGTCTCTTAGCTCATTGTTGATCTGATTCAGGAGCTTAGAATTCAGCCAGCCACTCTGTGTTGCAACCTTTTTTCACGGGTTATGGTTTACTTAGGGACCGTCAACAAATTTCTGAACGAAAGACTCTTGAGAAACTCAATGAATTCCTCGTCTTGTAGCCAACTGAAAAAGAAAACTATGGAAAATTGTGATACTAGATTATATAAAATATGAAAATGAAGAATAAGTGCACGTTAGATAAAAAAACATACATTGTCTTAGACTAACATTTTATTTTTTCATTTTGTACACAAAAGTGTAAACAAAAATAAATTTCGTTAAGTACAGCTTTCTAGAATATTTCACTTTTTAAAGTGCAGGTAAGCAGCAGTGATAAAACATTGTGATGAAAAAATTTATAAAAAAAAAACTGTANGCTGCACCAATCCGCCTGTCGATCTCCCGCTCCCTTCTTCCCTCATTATTGAAAAGTATGGAATAATTTCATATTTAAAGTACTTTCAGTTTGTCAGTTTGAATTCTGAATATGAGCAGACTTTTCCTTTAATCTTTTGTTCAGTGTACAGAGAAATTAATTAGTTATATCATAGTGAATAATTAGTTAAATTGTTAATAAACATCTACATGCTAATATTGGAGCCTTCATGTGTAACTGCTGAGATATTTTCATATGCCAAACAAAATTACTGTTACATCAAGCTTTTATTCAGATAAAAATGTGAGAAAAAAACAACAACAAATATCATAAGTGATAAATTTATACAGAGTTAAAGAAATGTTCAAAATATCTTTTAAACTGACATTTTTCTCCTCATATTTCACCATATTTCTTAGTTCTTCTAGATGGCAGCAAAATATTCCAACTCCCTGCATCCTGCATTATATATAAGCGCCACCAGAGGGCGCCAGATCCATACAAAGACCAAAACTACTATCGGGGAAAAAGGAAACGGTAAAAAAAAAATACTAAATCTAAATAAATAAACATTAAGTTTATAAATAAATAAACATATTGATTTTACTCTAAACAAAAAATTGACGAAGTCACAGTTATATTATTGAGACGCAGCCTTTAATATGGTCTGAAAATAAAAAAGAAGTTGGGCAAAGTTAAAATATATATAAATCATGCTAAATGTGATTGAATCAGATATGCTGCAGGGACAGACTTCCTTCCCTGTCCTCTGTTGCAGCAGCACCGGCCTGGTTTCTTGCTGCTCTCCTGTTTCTCCCCAGATTATGAGTCTCTGAGGAAAGGGACGGATTCTCTGCATGCATCATCCCCCCCTCCGCCCACCCCACAGCACGCATCTTCTGCAGCGTCCTAACCTGCTCTGCTGCTCATTCCTCACTGCAGCTCAGCACAGCTCAGTCCAGCTGGTTCAGTTCAGGTGGTGCTGATGGTTCAGGAGGCATTCAGCGCCTGTGAGGAAATGTGAGGAATGCGTCGCTTGGAATAAGTAGATGGTCTCTAAAGACTGGCAGGATTCATGGAGACAACAGAAGAGCGCGTCTGTTACAAAGTTGGACAAGGTAAGACCAGACTGGGAATGAAGAGTCTGCATTGGATCCATTTTTTTCTGCATACATTCACCTGAATCCCCTTTAATAAACAGAAACCATGGAAACGCCCTGCAGAGCTGCCTACTCTGTTTAACTCCTCTGGGATCTTTTGTTAGGGGAGACGCATAGGCTGGGGATTTTCTCTTCTGCATTTGATTGTTTGGAAATAAAAACAATGGACTTTGCTTTGTGCGCTGTTTCTTTTTAACATTTTTGTTCTCCATGTTCTCCCTGCAAGGGGAAATCTGGGAAGGTCCCAGGAAAAGATGCCAATCTGGAGGAGAAATACTTCTGTTGGTAAGACACACTTGCCTTATTCTAACCAAAGAAATAAATGTTACTTTAGATGAAAAGGGGCGATTGTCAGAGGATGACAAGATGACACTGATAAACTTGGTGCAGCACAACAAACCAAAAAACATTTTTTTATGTCCCTATATGGAACTACAGAAGCGTTTTGAATACACTTGAAAAAAGAAAATAAAGTAGTCTATTTTTCTGAATTAACAAGATTTTTTTTTTTTTTTTTACAAAAATGTGGTTACATGTATCATTTGATATTTCGTTTCTTTTCATATAGGGTTTCATTTACAGAGTCATTTCATTATTTCAAATTTTATTTATCACCATTGCACCGTATTTCTAAATTAGTGTGCACATTCTGGTTTACTGGTTCTGTTATTATTCTTTTCATACTCTGTTTCTGTTGCTCTAGTCCGTTGACTGAGGAAGCAGCAGGTGGTTGAGGGGTTGAGCTAATTTGGACTATACCACATCAGTGCTACGGGACGAAACGAGGTTTTGTTTCATTTGGTTTAGGGTTATGTTTGTTTTGCCATATGTTAAGTTTCTCTGAATCTAAAATAGAATGCTTTATCTTTTTTTTTCCTCCAGTGAATTCAATACGCTTCTGTAGTTCCATATAAAGGAATGAAAAAATATAAATTTTTAGTTTTTTTGTGCTGCACCAGGATTATCAGTGTCCCTTGATCTTGTCTTTAAGTTTTAATTCTCTCCCATCTTGATGTGATGACAAGATTAGGGGACATTGATAATCCTGGTGCAGCACAACAACCCAAAAAATAAACATGTTTTCATATTCCTATATGGAGCTACAGAAGCGTATTGAATTTATTTGAAAAAAAAAAAGATAAATGAGTCTGTTTTTCTGAATTAACAAGATAATTTTTATAAAAATGATTTAAAACAAAATTTCGGTTTATTCAATTTCAATTCAATTCAATTTATCTTTATTGTCACAAGAACAACGAAATTTTAAAAAGTGCCATCGATCAGTGCATATACTTAAAAACAAAAACAAAAATCCTTGTCACCACCATTTAGACGTAATATAAGAAATAAATAACAATAACTGATACAAAATAACTCATAAGAATAGTACATTCTCACACACACCATCCATGATGATTAATGGTTATTTTTGGTTGCATTTAGTTTTGTTATTGCTGTCGGGTAAAAACTGTCTCTAAGACGGTTGGTTGTTGTTCTGATTGCTCTTACCGGAATTAGCAAGATCATTTTTATAAAAAATACATTTTAAAAACTTTATTTTGCTAAATCAACAAACTGAAAAGCAGAGGAAGTGGGGAAACAACTGTGCCATGAGGAAGGGCCCAGTTAACAAACGTTAAAAGTTAACAAACTAATAGTGATTTCATCTACATAACTATATGCAAAGCATTTCCCGGTGTCTCAATTCCAAAAGAAAGTAAAAATGAGTTAAACTCAACAAACGGGACGCGTTGAAGCGTTTCTGAAGCGTTTCTGAAGCGTCTCACGCTTGGACATCTCCAACAGAACATCCTCTATGAAATCACAGCAGCATTATGTCATTACTTCACTTATTTTTGTAAAAACTATCTAATTAAATCAGAAAAAAACAGTAAATTTCCTTTTTTGCTAGGTGAATACAAAATGCTTCTGTATGGATAAAAATATAAAAAAATGGGATGCTATTAAAGGAACCCAGTTATGGTCAAAATTAGTTGGCAAATAAAATGTATTCATATAGAACCTTTAAAAAATGAGCCGTTGCAGATTAACAGCAACATTCAGTAAAATTTACTAATTTATTAACCCTTTATCAGTGAAATACTTTAAAAATCAAAATTTAGAGACACCTTCACTGGAAAAAGGATCTAAAAATAAGTAGAAATGTCTTAAATTAAGTATATTTACCCTTAATTTGAGTAGGTAAATGAGATAGATGACCAATGGAATGAGTATTTTTGCTCTTAAAATAAGAAAATTAGATAAAAAAAGCCCGAAATAAGACAATGCAATTGTGTTTTCTTATTGTGAGTGTAAATTGTCTTGTTCCATTGGCAAAATCTCTCTTTTACCTACTAAATCCAAGAACAAATACACTTATTTTAAGAAAAAACAACTTATCTAGATTTCAAATTTTTTTCCAGCGTTATTACTTTTATAACGTTAAAAAAAAATGGATATTTTGATGGCAAAAACTAACGTCAATGTAATCACAAATAACTCCAACTTGCTCGAATATATGAAGAAAAATAACAAAAGTCCTTCTAAAAGAAATGAATGAAAAACACTCTGAGGGTGAAAGAAAAACATTTTATTTTGGTAAAACTTAACCTTAGAGGCATTAATGCTGATACTGGCACTTACATTTTATAGTTTATAAAACTAAATAAATTGTTAACTAGGCTTATTAACTTTTTATTTTAATTTTTTACCTTTTTTTCTTGCTTTGTCAACTTTTTTTCAACTTAATTTCCAGTTGGTCATATATCATTCAAGGGCTCATCTAATTGGTCAAAATAAGATGTACATCCATGTAGCAGCATCTTTGCTGAAAGGCTGGATATAGATCTAGTGCTTCTAGACCTCACTGAGTTGACGGGGGGAGGGGGACTCCATTTTTTAAGGGGTATGCAGGTGATCAAAACCTTTAACTTGCCCTATAAAGGGTTAAACATCCCATCTGAAAACATTTGGAAATATAAAGATTATTCTGCACTGGAAAATATCTAAATCTAGATTAGTTATTTTTTCTTAAAATAAGTGCATTTGTTCTTGAATTGAGGAGGTAAAAGAGGTATTTTGCTAATGGAACAAGACAATTTACTTTTAGAATGAGAAAGCACAATTGGATTGTCTTATTTCAAGTGCATGTTATCTAATTATCTTATTTTAAGAGTAAAAATACTCATTCCATTGGCAATCTATCTCATTAACCTACTCAAATTAAGGGTAAATACACTTAATTTAAGACATTTTCACTTATTTCTAGATCGTTTTTCCAGTGTGTCCTTTTTGCTCATGTTTTGCTGTAGTTATTGCATAGAGAATCAGATCACACTGGAAAAAATCAACTTACATTTAAAATAAGGAAACACAATTGCATTGTCTTATTTCAAGTGCTTTGTATCTACATATCTTATTTTAAGAGTAAAAAATACTCATTACATTGGCAAATCATCTCATTTAACTCCTCAATTTAAGGGTAAATACACTTAATTTAAGAATTGTTTTTCTTTTTCTGATCGTTTTTCCAGTGTGAGCTCGATAAGGATAAATCAGCACATGTTGATGTGTTTGAAATCTCATTCTGGTTCTTCGGGAATGTGTCATCTTATGCTTCCTGGGAAGAAATGCAGTCCAAAATACGTCAGAATTTCCCAAATCTGTGAGCTGTTCAGACTTGCAGGCTTCAAAGGAAGTTGCTTGGTGAAGAAAGAGTTAAAAAGCAGAACGTTCACATCATGGAAATATCAACTGTACAATCTGTAAATGCAATGCGTAAGCAGCTCAAAGTGTCAGAACAAGCTAATCAGTTGTTTAATAATGAATCAGTGTAGTAACTGATAGCTGGGTGAGTGTGTGAGATCGTCTGTCCTGCTGCAGCTTGCTGCAGGTATGTGATGCATAATTGAACAACCATTTACCCCGTCTGACCACCTCAGGTCTATCTCAGTGTTTCTCCAGGCTTTGTAAAGTCGAGCTGTTCTTTCTGACTGGGTTAGTTTCCTTTTAAGACATGAGAAGACAAGTCGGAGCACGATAATGATCCTTAATGAAACACAAAGGAGGACGAACAGTGAAATTGTTACCGAATTATTGGGAAAGATTTGCAGGTAGAGACAAGTTGGAGGCGGAACTAGCAGCTCAACGACTGCTGCTTACCTGATCAAGGCTGCACTTTAAAACATGAGAGAATTGTTCTAAGTGAAATTTATTATTGCTCACATTTGGGTATACAAAATGAAATAATAAATCTGTTTGTTTACACTGCAAAAAATGTAAATCTAAATAAGTCATTTTTTTCTTAAAATAAGTGCATTTTTTCTTGAATTGAGGAGGAAAGTGAGACGCTTTGCCATTGGAAAAAGACGATTTACATTTGAAATAAGAAAAAAATATTGCTTAGTCTTATTTTAAGTGCATATTTTCTAATTATCTTATTTTAAGTGTGAAAATACTCATTCCATTGGCAAACTATCTTATTTTCCTGCTCAAATTAAGGGTAAATATACTTGATTTAATAAATTTTTACTTAATTCCAGATCGTTTTTGCAGTGTAAGTATAAGTTCAGGGTGCCACTGGCTTCTCTTCAGCTTTGTGTTCATAAATACCCGACACAGACCAAACCAGTGGGTTTTTTAAAGGCTCAGATTAAAATAAATGCAATAAAACCACAGACATAAAATCTACACCGCTGGGAAAAAAAATCTCCTGCTTACATGTTTCAGATTATCTAAATACTTCTATTATAATTTCATTACTCAGGCACATGTGGATTTTTCTTTTAGGGCGTCTTTTAATAAAACAGGTTTGGACTAGGCCACTCCTAAAATTCATTTTTAATTTGAGGGAGACCTAAACTGGTTTGGTGGGGATTGGTCAGGCAGTAATAATGGAGCAATTAGCTTTCCACTGCAAAAAATCTAAATCTAGATAAGTCATTTTTTTTCTTAAAATAAGTGCATTTGTTCATGAATTGAGGAGGTAAAACAGATATTTTTCCAATAGAACAAGACAATTTACACTTAAAATAAGAAAACACAATTGCATTGTCTTATTTCAAGTGCATATTATCCATTTATTTTATTTTAAGAGTAAAAATACTCATTCTATTGGCAAACTATCTCATTTACCTGCTCAAATTAAGGGTGAATACATTTAATTTAAGAAATTTTGACTTATTTTTATATCGTTTTTGCAGTGGAAGCTGGTATTTTATCACAGTTAATTTGACATTTAAGGGGGGGAGTGT